CAGCCTCTATATGTTTTTGAAACACGATGGTTACAGAGCAAGACACGTATTTGAGGGAGTGGGGAGCTAAAGTTATTCTAGATGGGCATTAGAATTATTTCCAACACATCAGACAACTGGGAAACAAAACATATAGCAGCATTAAATGGAGAGATTTACAAAGATCCATATCACAAATTTACAAATCCCACGGGAGATGAACCAACATTCTCTATTGTGCTGTGAGACACAGAATCTGCAAAATCAATAACTTCAGATGATGACTTCCACTGAGCTGTCATAAATTCCCATGCAACATTGGAGTTCCTCCCCTTTTGGACAAAACATGGCTTTATAGATTCTCTACGTGTGTTGTTTAGTAAGCATACTTATCCTTCTTTGTTTGAGAGATTTATGCAAAGCTAAGGAGACCTTGACTTCCTACTTAAACCCACAGAGCTCCCCACCTCCTCGAAACATCTCCCCAGAGCAACTCCCTTTGTGATCCTGCCCATCACTCCACGATGGTGCCTGTATCCCTGATGCTCGTTTTCCTAGCTGCCTATTCTCCAGGTGTGCTGGGATCTTGCATTCTACTTTTTCCTCTAAATTTGTCCTTTTCTCTACATATGTCTCTCTAAAATAATCCCTGTTCTCCTTGTTGCGGCTTCCTCTCAACTCTCTCTCTTTCTCCCTTTTCATTTTAATGTCCAGGTGTCGTCTCACAGGTGGTGCTGACTCAAGAAGGTCCAGTCTTGAAAAAACCCGGAGAATCTCACAAGCTGACCTGCGCCACCAGAGGGTTTGATCTTAGCAGCTACGGGATGAACTGGGTTAGACAAAAAACTGGCAAAGGACTGGAATGGACTGCATACTATCTCAACACTTGGAATACTTATTCTGCAATCCAAGGCCGATTCACGGCCTCTAAGGACAACTCCAACTTCTATCTGCAAATGAACGACCTGAAAGAAGAAGACACGCCGTCTATTACTGTACAAGAAACACAGTGAGAGAAAACCCGGCAGAGCTGAGACAAAAACCTGTTCCTGCATGACATTTAGAGAACAGTCACCAGAGGGGGCACCAGAAAGCCATGAATCAGGAGCTCATCAGGCAGAATAACAAAGAACGGTCTGATAGGAATTCATAATGAAGTTTCCATACAATTTGGCCCAGCCTCAGTTGTTCCAGATTCTTCCTGTTCTGATCTTCCAAAGTGGCAGGATAGTTCAGAGGGAGTTTCCGACTTCTTTGATCTTAGACACACCAAACCTTCAATGTTTCCCCAAAAACTTGCTTGCATGAGTCCATGAATTCCACCAAGACAGAAATCCAGTAGGTGAGCATTTTCATGTCCACATCCCCAAATAATAATCAAACTCTCAACCTCTGGCTATGATCCTAAGAGCCTGGCTGACTCATACAGAGACAGGCGGTTTTTGAGATAGTTTGGACCCAGGATATCAGTCTCAATTTGAGGGAGGAGAATATGCTTTTCTGTCCATCAACAGAAAAAGACTGTTGAAAAACAGCCTTATATTCTTTTTTTTTCTTGTCCGACTGCCTCTCAGAGATGCAGCTGATGGTTTGCCTCCCCAAGGAGGTTTCCTCCGGCTCTCTTGCAAAGCTTCAGGATTGATTGTATTCATCATCTCCAGGAACAATCCCTCCAATATGCTGTCTCTGCAAATGAACAACCTGAAAACCGAAGACACTGCTGTGTATTATTGTGCAAGAGGCACACTGAGAGGCAGTGAATCTGACACTAGACAAAACCCCTTTTTCCCATCTGGAAGCAAAGCTGATGTAAGAAGCCAAGGTGCAGAATAAAGTGGAAGGACATTAAGGAGAAGTGATGGGCAAAGACCCATCAACTCCATTATCTTCTTTCCCACAATCTATTCTCCACGCTAGACCAGAATACGGAAGCTACAAAATGCTGAGCCCAAACATTCTCTCCCAGTGGGACAATCCACATTTCCTTAAAGCGTCAGCCTTTCCCCTGTACCTCCATTCATTTTTTCCCTAATGTTGAATGTATAGTATGTACATAATAGTTGGTTTTATGCCTCTCAAGTGAGCAGCCCTAAAAGTCCTTTCGAGGTAATCAAGGTATTTAAGGACTGGTTTTCCATGGCTGAGTGGGGATTTGAACACGAGTTTCCAGTCTCCAGGACTTCATCCACTACACCAAGTTAAGATCATATATACATAATGTAACATGCAGTCCTAAAAGCTTTTACATGAAAACCATGTGCTATGCATGTCTTGCTTAATTTTTTTGTGCCTCTCAAGTGAGCAACCCTAAAAATCCATTCAAGGTAATCGAGGTATTTAAGGACTGGTTTTACCAGTTCCACTCCCCATTGATTTTCCATGGCTGAGTGGGGATTTGAACACGAGTTTCCAGTCTCCAGGACTACATCCACTACACCAAGTTAAGATCCTATATACATAATGTAACATGAACTCCTAAAAGCTTTTATATGAAGACTATCCGCTATGCATGCCTTGCTTAATTTCTCTGCCCACTAGCTCTCTTTCTCTTTCTTCACAAGTTCCCTCTTTTCAATGATCCAGAGCCAGCAGAGGAAACACCTGGAGAACTGCAGAAACTGGCCTCAGCAGTCACAGGATTGGATGTCAACAGTTACTGCATGTGGTGAAGGACTAGAATGACTTTTTAAATTCCTAAGCCAGCTCCAACATCTACCTGAAAATGTACAGCCCAGAAGCAGAAGACAGAGCTGAGTATTACTGTCCGAGAGAACGATCTGGTGGCATTCTACTGTACGATTCGTGCCACACGTCTTCACACTATCAAGGAGGACACTGGGTACTCTGGTATTTAGTTGATTTAAAAGCTATGACAGAGGGCAGCAAAGGACCTCAGAAACGAACTCATAAGGCAGAAAGGAAGCAGTGACACAACATTTAAAAAGGGAAAACATCTGTCATTTATTGGCCAAACAACTAAACTATTGGCGTGTAGCCTAGTATGATCTATTGTGATCTACCTAGCTTTAGGATGGGCAACTCCGAACTCTCTACCTATTCTTCTTTCTCTCATGCACCAATGCTTTCCTGAATATTTTCATTAAAAAGTGAGGAACAGAAAAAACTGTCCTATTTTGGAGCCCAAAATTCATTCTTAGCCACAGACACACACAAAAGGGCTTGCTCTCCTCATTGGTGGAAGTGGTGAAGCACCCGTTCCCTTTCCATTGTGATGGGCTTGCAAGATCCACCTGAATCTTCCATACTTGTACCATGTTTCTTTTCTGAAAACAAAAACCCATGCTTTCTTTGATTAACAATTTGATCAGATATCTATTAAATCACACCTGCACAAATAATTTTGTTCGCCACCCAAAGGCAGGTCCGGCCACTATTCCCCCCCCCTGCCATGAACAAATAACGTCTCATGTAAGCAAGCAAGAAGCCAAAAAGTAGCTGAAAGAAGCTGGGGATTTGAGCTCTCATCAGCTCTCCCATTTTGTTCCCAAGAGTGGCCACCCAGAGCACTCCTGGAACTCCCAAACTGGACTGAACTCAGTGGCTTTTCCTGAATCTCCATCTCCATTAATGGGGAAAAGGAACAAAAGATATACAGGTCCTGAACACTGATAGTCTACTTTGAAATATTGATGGTTGGACAAATTGGTTGCCGTCCAGGTCTTTTCAAGATGGTGACATGTAAGTAGCAACAGAGAAACCGCTCTTTCTCTCAGCTTCTTGCTGCCTCATAGAGCGTATCTCTGTGTCAAATTACCTGTTGCTCCAGGAATACAATTGGTCTTGGATCAAAGAGAGAGCTAAGGAGTCATGCCCAAAATGGATGAGATTTATCAAAGATTCTATAGGATGCAACAGAACAGAGAACAATTATAGTTTAAAGCCAAAGGATTCTCTAGGATGCAACTGAACACAGAACAAATATAGTTTAAAGCAGTAGTTCTTAACCTTTTTGAAAGAAGTTATTTTGCTGAAGAGAAAAATGGAAAGAGCAGCCACAAAGTGGGAAAATACACTGACAAAACATTAAACAGCTGAGGTAAGAAATTAAATTAGTCATATTTTCATTTTCCCTTTGAGTCTTTTGCTCATGGCAGGGACCCATCAAGGAGACGATAATTCTTGAGACTCTCCACCATTGCCCAAGTCCTCTCTACACCAGTTAGTACATAACCTAGTCCTTAGCTTTTCTCGCACCCTTTACGCATACAACCTAAAAGGGAGGGCTTTAAACAGACCTTAATGTATGCAGTCCATGCAAATCTGCCTACCTGATCCAGTTTTTTTAAAGGCTCCCATGCTCAGTGGGAGCCCTCGAAGGCAGTCCCTAGAACCATTCAAACAGTCAGAGACATGACCCTTTGGTTGAATCTTCTCCTGTTCTCTGCCTTTTTCTCAGGTAATTTTCCCACATGAGGAAAAAACAGGAATGAATGACTTTTCCTTCATGACATCACCCTGATCTTTCATGTGTGTTTAATTTTCAGAATGTCGTTCAGCGGTGCAGCTGGTGGAGACGGGAGGAGGTGTTGTGTCCCCAGGAGGCTCCCTCCGCCTCACCTGCAAAGCTTCAGGATTCCCTTTTAGCGGCTATAGCATGCATTGGGTCCGCCAGGCTGCCGGGAAAGGCCTCGAGTGGGTGGCAGGAATAAGGTATGATGGTGCTGATCAGTGGTACAACTCCAAGGTTCAGGGAAGATTCACCATCTCCAGAGACAACCCTCAGAGTTCAGTGGATCTGCGGATGGGAAGCTTGAAGCCCGAAGACTCTGGCGTGTATTACTGTGTAAGGGACACAGTTACAACTTCTGCTTTCAAGCTTGTACAAAAACCTCAGATCCCCTTGAGTGTGGAGTGTGGAGGCAAGAGTTCAACCCTCATTTTCTCTACTGCTGGAATGGAGGAGGCAGAGAGGAAAACATGGCCAGTGACAGAGACATTAAAAATAGAACATTGTGAGGAATCATGGTCAGGAAACTAACAATACAACATCATAGAAAAAGTTGAACAATTCCAGGCAAAAAGGCTGAATTGGCTCAAAAGACTTTTGACACATTTAGTTTCAAAGAATTTTTTTAATCAAAACAATATAAATCAAGCTTTCAACAAGGAAAAACATATCCTGCCATGTTCACGATTACAAACAGCATACTTCTGACACTGCATACTGTATGTACATACTGAGACAGCACATTCAAGGTGTATTAATTGCGTAGTCAACTTTCTACAGTTTTAATGGTAGAGCTGAGTATTACTGTCTGCTGGCATTCTACTATACGATTGGATTCGTGGCATATGGCTTCACATGATCTAGGACAGGACACTGGGCACTCACGTATTTAGTTGATTTAAAACTAACAACAGAGGGCACCAAAGGACCTCAGAAACAAACTCGTAAGGCAGAAAGGAAGCAGTGACACAATATTTTAAAATGGAAAACTTCTGTTATTTATTGGCCAAACAACAAAACTGTTGTTGTGTGTCCCAGTATGTACTTGTGTGATCTACCTAGATTTAGGATGGGCAGATCCATACTCTCTTCCTAGTATTCTTTCTCTCACAAACTGACCCTTTCCTGAATATACTCCATGAAAAGTGAGGCAGAAAAAAATTGTCCTATTTCGGAGCCCAAAATTCATTCTTAGCCACAAACACACACAAACGTGCTTGCTCTCATCATTGCTGGAGGTGGTGAAGCATCTGTTCCCTTTCCATTGTGAGGGGCTTGCAACGTGCACCTGAAACAGGCCTGCACGTATAATTTGGTCCTCCAGAAAGAAGACAGACTGGCTCTTTTTTTTTTTTTTTTAACAAATAGGTGCTCGTACCAGCAAGAAACAATCCAGAAGGTAGCACAAAGAAGGTGGGGATAAGGAAGAAAGGTTAAGGACTGAGCCCTCATCAGTTCTCCCTTTTTGTTCCCAAGAGTGGCCACCCAGAGCAGTCGTGAAGTTCCCAAACTGGATCAAAATCAAGCACTTTTCCTGAATTTCTTTCTCCAGCATTTTGGAAAAGGAACAGAAGATATTCAGTCTCTGAACACTGATGGTCCGCTTTGAAATATTGACGGTCAGACTACTTGGTTGACCTCCAGAACTTTTCAAGATGGTGACTTATAAGTAGCAACAGAGAAACCACTCTTTCTCTCAGCTTCTTGCTGCCTCATAGAGCGTATCTCTGTGTCAAATTACCTGTTGCTCCAGGAATAGAGCATGGATCAAAGAGAAGAGCTAAGGAGCCACACCCAAAATAGATGAAACCTACCAAAGATCCTATAGGATGGAACAGAACAGAGAACAATTATAGTTTAAAGTCATTTGCAGGCGAATACTGGGCCACTGCATTATTTTGCTGAAGAGAGAAATGGAAAGAGTGGCCACGAAGTGGCAAAATCCACTCACAAAACATTAAGCGGCTGAGGGAAGAAATTACATTGATCATCTTTTCCTTTTTTCTTTTGTCTTTTGCTCATGGCAGGGACCCATCAAGGAGGAAATAATTCCCGAGACTCTCCATCATTGCCAGGTCCTCTCTACTCCAGTTAGTATTGCACATAACCTAGTCTTTAGCTTTTCTCTCCTCCTTTATGTAGATAACCTGAAAGGCAGGGCTGTAAACAGACCTTAATGTATGCAGTCCATGCAAATCTGCCTACCTGATCCAGTTTTTTAAAGACTCCCATGTTCAGCTACGTACAACCTTGCCACACAGAGCCCTCCAAGGCAGTCCCTAGAGCCATTGAAACAGTCGCAGACATGACCCTTTGGTTGAATCTTCTCCTGTTCTCTGCCTTTTTCTCAGGTAATTTTCCCACATGAGGAAAAAACAGGAATGAATGACTTTTCCTTCATGACATCACCCTGATCTTTCATGTGTGTTTAATTTTCAGAATGTCGTTCAGAGGTTCAGCTGGTGGAGACCGGAGGAGGTGTTGTGTCCCCAGGAGGCTCCCTCCGCCTCACCTGCAAAGCTTCAGGATTCACTTTTAGCGACTACAGCATGCATTGGGTCCATCAGGCTGCCGGGAAAGGCCTCGAGTGGGTGGCAGGAATAAGTTATGATAGTGCTTATCAGTGGTATAACTCCAAGGTTCAGGGAAGATTCACCATCTCCAGAGACAACGCTCAGAGTTCAGTGGATCTGCGGATGGCAAGCTTGAAGCCTGAAGACTCTGCCGTGTATTACTGTGCGAGGGACACAGTTGCAACTTCTGCTTTCAATCTCGTAGAAAAACGTCACATCTCTTCGACTGTGGAGTGTGGAGGCAAGAGTTCAACCCTCATTTTCTCTATTGCTGGAATGGAGGAGGCAGAGAGGAAAACATGGCCAGGGACAGAGAGGTTAAAAATAGAACATTGTGAGGAATCATGGTCAGGAAACTAACAAAACAACCTCATAGAAAAAGTTGACCAATTCCAGACAAAAAGGCTGAATTGACTCAAAAGACCTGACACATTTAGTTTCAAAGAATTTTTTTATCAAAACAATACAAATGAAGCTTTCAAGGAAAAACATCTCCTGCCATGTGCAGGATTACAAACGGCATACTAATAACAATGTATACTGTATGTACAGACACAGACAGCACATTCCAGATGTATTAATTGATTAGTCAACTTTCTGCAGTTTTAATGAGATCAGTGGCTGGGAAATTGGGCATCATTTGTGCTGGGAGGTGGTGTGATGAATTGGGAAGAAGGACAAAGACTTAGTGAGTCGTGGCTTCCTATAGTGAATTTGAGTGATCTGGTGGTTCCCCTCTATGTTCATTTGAGGTAGTGGATGCTGCCGTGAATTGAACGAGGTGGTGTGATGAATTGGGAAGAAGGACAAAGACTTAGTGAGTCGTGGCTTCCTATAGTGAATTTGAGTGATCTGGTGGTTCCCCTCTATGTTCATTTGAGGTAGTGGATGCTGCCGTGAATTGAACGATCAGTCTGGATTTCTGGAGAGAGACATGAGCATATGGGTCTTGGTCCATCTACAGAAACAAATGGAGAAACGAAAACTGATTTTCCCAACTTAATTCCATACCTGGTATGAATATAAAAATAGGTACCACCATAATGGGATGTTAACTGTGTTCCATGTCCGAAGATTGTTTCCGTGGTCACGTGGCCAGCTTGACTAAAGCTGGCCATGTGACCACGGAAACAATCTTCGGACAAACACTGGCTCTACGGCTTGGAGACGAGGATAAGCCCTGCTCCCTAGAGTTGGACACAACTCTCTAAATATCAAGGGGAACCTTTACCTAAGGTTATTCTGGACTGCCAATAGAATGATTTCCAACTGGGAAATATCCCAAACGGCATGGCATCAAAACCAGAATACCAATATCACAAATACACAAATCACACAGAAGAAAAAGCAACATTCTCCATGGTGCACAGTGAGGAAGTGGATAGACCGTAGATGAAAATCTGCACAATATATAACATTGACCGCAGTGGCTAAGTTGTCATCATCAAATGCAAATTGTAGCTCCTCCCTTTCCTGAGAAAATATGGCACTGTCGGTTCTCCGTCAATGTTCTTTGGTATTAATACTTGTCGCTCTTTACTTGGTGGATTTATGCAAAGCCAAGAGGATCTTCACTTCCTACTTAAACCCACAAAGCTCTCGAGCTCTTCGAAACATCTTCCCACAGCACTTCAGCTCCCGCTGTGATCCTGCCCATCACTCCATTATGGTGCCTGTATCCCTGATGCTCGTTTTCCTGGCTGCCTATTCTCCAGGTGTGCTGGGATTTTGCATTCTACTTTTTCTCTAAATTTGTCCTTTTCTCTACATTTGTCTCTCTAAAATAACCCTTGTTGTGGCTTCCTCTCAACTATTTCTCTCTTTTCATTTTGATGGCTAGGTGTCGTCTCACAGGTGGTGCTGACCCAGTCAGGTCCAGTCTTGAAAAAACCTGGAGAATCTCACAAGCTGACCTGTGCCACCAGTGGGTTTACTCTCAGCAGCACCTGGATGAACTGGGTTAGACAGAAACCTGGCAAAGGACTGGAATGGCTTGTGTATTATTACAACACTGCATCTGGGAACAGTTATTATTCTCCTGCAATCCAAGGCCGATTCACAGCCTCTAAGGACAGCTCCAACTTCTATCTGCAAATGAACAACCTGAAAGAGGAAGACACAGCCGTCTATTACTGTGCACGGGACACAGTGAGAGAGATCCCAGCAGAGCTGAGACAAAAACCTATTCCTTCATGACATTTTAGAGAACAGTCACCAGAGGGGGCACCAGAAAGCCATGAATCAGGAGCTCCACAGGCAGAATAATAAAGAACAGTCCGGCAGGAATTCATAATGAAGTTTTCATACAATTTGGCCCAGCCTCAGTCTGATGATATGAGTTGTTCCAGATTCTTTCTGTTCTGAACTTCCAAAGTGGCAGCATAGTTCAAAGGGAGTTTTTTACTTATTTGATCTTAGAAACAAACAATCTTCTTGTTTCCTCCAAAGACCTGTTTGTTTGCATCTATGAATTTCACCAAGAGAGAAATCCAGCAGGTGAGCATTTCCATGTTCACCCTACAACACAATCAAACTCCCAACCTCTGGCTCTGAAGCCAGAAGTCTAAACAATTGAGCTATCCATGTTATGATCCTAAGAGCCTGGCAAGCTTATAAAGAGACATGAGGTTTAGAGATAGCTTGGACCCAAGATGTCAGTCTGGATTTGAGTGGGGAGAACATGGTTTTTGGTCCATCAACAGAGAAAGACTGTTGAAAAACAGCCTTGGTAATTGAATTGAACAGTCATGGCTTTGAATTTGGACGTGAAATTGTTAACTAATGAAAGAAGGAGTCAGGTTCATGGATTTCCCCTTGCTTGGTATCATTTTGTGAATGGTATTGAGCTCATGGAGGTATCTGACCATTTTGACCACTGCCATGGGTGTTGTCTATTCAGGTTGCCCTTTGCTATGCAAAGCTCTTTCCTCTGTTTTCCTGTACGCAACGCAGGTATGAAATTGTGCAGCCTTATCAGGCTATTTCCTGCCTTGGAATCATGGGTCCAGAAGCAGAATATTCCACATTCAGAACCAAAGATGTTTTTGAAGAACTGAATCAGACCATAGTTATTAGGAATCACAATGCTTTCTTTTCCCAAATAGCTTCTACAGACATCTAGGTGGAATTATCTCGACTTAAAAAGGTGAGATCCAGAGAAAATCTTTGTAAGTGACAGAGTTTTGGATAGGGACATGTCAGCCACCCGGGAAAAGTCTGAAATAGGTTGCAAGAATCAGGGCCCATACTGACAGCAAAGAGGTTGCTATTCCTCTGAGGAGCCATGCATCCATCCCTTCAGGCACCTCTAGTGAGTTCTCTCCTCACATGCAGTATCAGAAATATTCAAATTACACAGGAGATGAAGCAACATTCTCTACTGAGCAATGAGATACTGGGAGGCGGTGGATGGACTGTAGAAGTAAATCTGCAGAATAAATAACCTGAGATGACCACCGACACTCAGCTGCCAATCATTCACATGCAAAACGGAGCTCCGCCTTTTTGGAGAGAAAATGGCAGTGTAGAATACCCAAGTTTGCTGTGTGGTATTCATTATCTCACTTTGCCTGATGGATTTATGCAAAACTAAGAGGACCCTGACTTCCTATTTAAACCCACAAAGCTTCCCACCTCCTTGAAATATATTTCCACCTCATTATAACTCCCTTTGTGATCCTCCCATCGTTCCATTATGTTGCCCGTGGCACTGATGCTCATTTTACTGGCTGCCTATTCTCCGGGTGTGCTGTGATTTCATTTTGTCAACATCTGTATCTCTAGAATAATCCTTGTTGACACGTGTTCACATTAACTATCTCTTCCTCTCTTTTTATTTTTATGGACAGGTGTCGTCTCACAGGTGGTGCTGACCCAGTCAGGTCTAGTCTTGAAAAAACCTGGAGAATCTCACAAGCTGACCTGTGAAACCAGCGGGTTCGCTCTTAGCACCGCCTGGATGGACTGGTTTAGACAGAAACCTGGCAAAGATTTGGAATGGCTCGTGCATTATTACAGCACTGCATCTGGGCGCAATTTTTATTCCCCTGCAATACAAGCCCGATTCACAGCCTCTAAGGACAGCTCCAACTTCTATCTGCAATTGAACGACCTGAAAGAGGAAGACACGGCCGTCTATTACTGTGCACGGGACACAGTGAGAGAGATCCCAGCAGAGCTGAGACAAAAACCTTTCACAACATGACATTTAGAGAACAATGACCAGAGGGGGCACCAGAAACCTATGAATCTGATGCTCATAAGGCTGAACAGAGATGCCTAGTCAAACAGCAGTTCATAACTGCGAATTCTTACTGTGTGGACCAGCAGTAGCTTGATATGGGTTGCTGTAGAATCTTCTTGTTCTGAACTTCCAAACTGTCAGTATAGCTTGGTGTAAAGAGGTGCAGGTGTTCACCCCAAGTGAACCAGAGGGCCCTGCACACCAGTATTTCTTGCCCTCCTTTACACAGCCCTTTGGTAAAAGTTGTGTGTCCTGGATCTAAGCTCTCTCCCCATTCCTACCTTTCAGAACATGGACTCCAGGCAAATTCCAATGAAACTGGGGTTCTAAGTTGGCAATTAGTTTAGACTCTGTAGTTTGACCCTATGGGACTGTGGGGGGAAAGGGTCAAGAGAACCGCTGCTATAAGTCTAATAAAAACTACTGAAAAGACAGATAATCTCTCCTCCTTATCACAACAATACACCCACAACGACACACTAATCACCTGTCTCCTGAAAAGGACAAAAGCCTATCTCACAGCCATAAATACTCCACTCCCAAGTAAACTATACCAGAGCACAGGGTGCTGTCCTCTGAAGATGCCGGCCATAGAGACTGGCAAAACGTTAGGAAGAAAAACCTTCAGAACACAGCCAAAGAGCCCAAAAAACCCACAACAACTAATAAAAACTAATAGAAGTTAAGAAGCAGAGCTACAGTCCATATGATTATCATCAGGGAACCCCTGCGGCACCAGCAAGGGGGTTGGTGGGATGTACAATTGGAGTAAGTTTCCATAGACTCAGGCAACTTTGAAATAACGCCAGAACCAAATTGGGGGAATTTGGGCAAAATATTTTCATAAAATTGTTTTTTTTTTAATGTACAAATGCCCACGTGCAGAAAAAAGTGACCTAACTGTCCCCAGATTTAAATCAGATCAAATAAATGGAAAAGACCACTTTTTTTGTTTTGAATGAGAATGGTTGAACCACTCACTTCTTTTTTAAAAATGGATGGAATCCAGGCTGCAGGGGCTGCAATATTAATGACTTCTTTAAAAAAAATTCCAAAAAGTGTGAAATGGTGGCTTTGATATAAACTGACCCTGTGTGGAACAGACTCACCAGCTAGAGTATTCCATAGTAGATACATGGGTGCAGCTTCATGGGCCGGGAAGGGAGATGATTGGAGGATAATGAAAGGTCTGAACCTTGGGCAGAGCAAGTGGTTGTTAGGTCCACATCCCTCGTCTGGTGTCAGAGCAAAGATACTAGAGACTAGAGCTATGTGTTCATCAATCTGTCCTGGGAGGCGCAGGCTAATCAGTTGCTCTAAGCTTCTGTTGAGGGTGGTATCTTATTGGTAGCAGTGCAGAAGCTACCTCTGCTCTCAACTTCATGGTTTCTGGATTCACACTAACCTATCCTTTGCTCTAGGAGCAGAATGTTGTGAGCCAGGATCAAAGGCAAGGGATTTCTGACGGTCTTGCTTAAGAAGACAAGGGAAAAAAGGATGAGGTGGATTCTTATTTTGGTGGGAAACAATAAGAGATTTCATTTCATTTCATTTCATTTCATCCATCCATCCATCCATCCATCCATCCATCCATCCATCCATCCATCCATCCATCCATCCATCCATCCATCCAATCAATTTTTATATTGCACCATCTAGTGGCCTTGCCACAACTCTGGGTGGTTTCCAACAATAACATAAGCATTAAGACCACCGCTGAATCCCACCCAATCCTCAAAATATAAAGAAGTAGAATATAAAAGAAGAACAGATCAAAAAATGAAGATGGCACCAAGAGACAAAAAGGTTACAACATATAATAGTCAAAATTAAACGAAGTGACCAACAACTGTGAGTGGAGGGTATTCTGAATTGCCTCCATTAAAAGCAAAGATTCCCTACGCATCCTGAAGATGGAGAGGCAAGGGGCCAAGTCCATTCTGATTGAAAGTGAGCAGCAGGTAAATGCAGGGACTCTGTGTGGTTTTGTTGATGAAAGCCATAAAAATAGCACAGAAACTTATCATGGAATCTTGAGATTGGGTTGATGCACGGAGGCTCAAAGATGCCTAGCTTTCACCATCCCCGTTGATCATTCCCCCCCCCCTTTCCACTGAGGTCTTTTCTCCATACCACAAGGACCCAGTAGAAGGGAAGAGTTTCCAAAACTCCACCATTTCCATGTCAAGGTAACACAGATCTTATGCTTCATATTTCTCTGACCCTTTAGGTAGACCACCCAGGTCTTAAAGGGGAAGCCTCAAACAATCCTTGAAATAGGCAGCTCATGCAAATCACTTTGGTGAATCCAGCTCTTTAAAGTCTGTCACATTCAGCCAGTCAGAACCTTGCAACGTTGACCCGGTCAAGTCAATCTCCGAAGTCGGTAACACAGTAGTAGACATGATTTCTTGGTTGAAACTTCTCCTGCTCTTTGCTGTTCTCTCAGGTAATTCTAATCCTGGAGTAAAAGCAGGAGCTTCTGTGATTCATGATTTTTTCCTGATTTTTTCCTCTGTCTTTCATTTCCAGGCTGCCATTCCGAAGTTCAACTGGTGGAGACCGGAGGAGGTGTTGTAGCTCCAGGAGGCTCCCTCCACCTCTCCTGTAAAGCTTCAGGATTCACTTTTAGCAGCTATGAAATGCACTGGATCCGACAGGCTGCCGGGAAAGGACTAGAGTGGGTGGGAGGAATAAGTGGCAGTGGAGGCAGCCAGTGGTACAACTCCAAGGTTCGGGGAAGATTCACCATCTCCAGAGACAATGCCCGGAGTTCAGCAGATCTACGGATGGCAAGCCTGAAGCCTGAAGACTCTGCCATGTATTACTGCACAAGAGACACAGAGAGAACTTCTGCTTTCACACTTGTACAAAAACCTCAGTCCTCTACAACTCTAGAGGCAAAACAACGGCCTTCATTCTCCATGCAGCTGGAGTGAGAGAGGCAGAGAGGAAACAAGTGGAACAGCAAGAAAGAGATCAGATCAAACACCGTGAGAGGAACCTTGTGTAGGGAACCAACAATGCATCCGTTTTCTTTAACTTGGTAGGCAGTGCAGTGGTGATGTATTTGAAATCAATGGAACGTTAAGGGGAGATTCATGATCTTCTGGAACAATCCTTCCAGTATGTTGCATCTGCAAATGAACAACCTGAAAACGGAGGACACTGCTGTCTATTACTGTACGAGGAACACACAGAGAGGAAATGACTCTGACACCAGACAAAAAACCTCCTTCCCACCTGGAAGCAAAGCTGAAAGAACAAGCTGAAGAAGACAGCTTTTCTTACAAGGAAGGTCCATCTATGCCTGTATCTCCTTTCCCAAAACCTATAGTCGTATTCTCCACTCTAGCCCAGAACAGGGAAGCCACAAAATGCTGTGCCCAAATATGGGGACTTCTGCCATTTCAGGGGTATGGTCTTAAAGAGGACAATAGAGCCTTCGATCTCAATATGTTCACTAGTTCATGTGCAAACTGCTTCTCAGTTTTGGATATAAGAAACGTGCTGCTTCTGCTAGTCATAAGCCCGACTGGTACCACAATCCCTAACAGGGCAGATCTTCCACTTCTCTCCCCAGTACAATCCTTTCCAGTTTCACTTCACCCACCCATCAAGATAAGGTCACAGAAGCACAGACTTGTAGAGTGCGAAGGGTCCCCAAACTTGGGCCTCCAGATGTTATTGGACTTCAACTCCCAGAAATCCTGGCCAGCAGAGGTGGCAGTGAAGGCTTCTGGGAGTTGTAGTCCAAGGACATCTGGAGGCCCAAGCTTGGGGACCACTGCTCTACTCCAAGCAGCTCAAACTTCCCTCCCAGTGGAACAACCCATATTTTCTTAAAGCTTCCAAAGAAGAAGAGTCCAAGATACCCCAAGGAAGTTCACTTTGTTACCAACCAGTTCTTGCCGTCAGAATGTTCTTCCTTACATGTAGCTGGCGTCTCAAACTCATAGGCTCGCACCAACAACAAATCAACATCCTGAAACCAGAGGACACAGCGTCTTATTGCTGTCCAAGAGAACACAGCTGGTTGCAGTCTAGAATGTGATTAGTTCTAATTATGTGTCTTCTTCACTGTTGAGGACACTACACTGGGTACAATACTATTTAGCTGATATAAAAGTCACCACAGATGGCACCAAAGGACTAGAAAAAGAAACTCTTAAGGTGGAACAGAAGTAGATACACAACATTTAATAATGGAAAACTTATCATATTGACCAAACAAGCAAGCAGTTGCTGTGTGTGCTAGTATGATCTAGTGTGATCTTTCTGGTAACAGAGTGGGTTGGATGGAAGCTCTATTCCTTCTCTGCTTATTATTCTCCATCACACGCACAAAGGCTTTCCTGTACACGTTCTATGAAATGTGAGGCAAAGAAAACCTGTCCTATATCTGAGCCCTGAATTCCTTCTCAGCCACAGACGCCTACATACTTGCTTGAACTCATCATTAGTGGAGGAGGTGAGGCACCCGCTCCCTTTCCATTGTGAACACCTTGCAAGTTGAACCTCAATCTTCCATAACTCTAGCATGTTTTCTTTATGAAAACAAAACCCATGCTTTCCTTGATTAACACTTTGCTCGTGTATGTATCAAAGCACACCTGCACATATACCATATTTTTCAATGTATAAGATCCCCCCCACTTTTAAAATCCAAAATTAAGAAATCTAAGTGGGGCTTAGCAAGGGTGGGGGGAAAGGGATCAAAGTGCTGCAGGATCGTTTTGATCCCTGCTTTCCGCTCCACTTGTTTTTGTTCTCTCCTCAGCTTACTTCTGTGTATAAGACGACCCTCAATTTTTATTCTAAAGATTTTAGACAAAAGTATAGTCTTATACACAGAAAAATATGGTAATTTGCTCTTCCACAAAGAAAGCAAGTTAGCAGCCTTTCCCCCCATGAACAAGTAAATGCTCATATAAGCAAGCAACAATCCATAAAGTAACTGA